CAGATAGCTGACCCATGCCTTGAGCATGAGAGAAGAAAAAATAAATGTAAATGCAAACTATTTTAAATGAATAATTCTATGATATAATTATTTCGGTTTTTCCGACAAACAGTGCTAAAACAAGGGATGGAAATCTGCGATTACTTTTAACGAACAACGATGGGAAGTGGAGAAAGCAATTTTATTCCGAGATAACTACTATATATAAGCTATGCCTTCATGAATATACAAATGACTAAATAGTAAGGACAGAAACATATCCGATGTGGTAATAGTTGCAAGTCAAGTGAGCAAAAAGAAATTGCAGTACTAAATGTTTTTTATTGTACTTTGGTTATGTTCTTGTTTCAAGTGACCATCATCTATTTCTTGTTAGGTTTGATCAAAAGGTGTTCTAGATTTTGGCTGTCATCCAACAATTTTTTCTCTGCATTTTATCAAAATTTCTGGAGCAAATAAATGATTTGAGTCTTCCAGCTAACGATGAAAAAAAGAAACAAAGTTCAAAATAAATTAGAATAAATTGAGGAGTCGGAGTTTCTCTCGATGTGACCAAAATATATATTAAACGAAGTTTGAAAGTTTTCTTTGGAGAGGGAGAGATCGTTAGCTCTACAGTGAACAAACAATATTATTGTCAACATCAGTAACAGTAATGTTTGTAATGGAGACATGGGCACTTCTAGAATTATTAATTAATTTTGCAACCATATAAAATTTTGTATCACTAGGTAGTACTTCCATGAAATCATGATGCCAGCCATGTCCTGCACTGTCTCCTCCAACTTTGAAACAGCTATCCAGCTCTCGGCTGATGCTATCATGGCATACAAATACCGCAGATGTATTTGCCTGGAAACAGTGTTTTTACGGAAATCTTGATAAACATTTGAAGCCACTCCATCTAGCTTATTCTTACTCGTTGTGGCAACAGTATGCTCAGTTTTTATTTCTAATTAATCGAGCAGTTTAAATGTAACTACACAATTAAATATAACCAAATTTAGTTACTTATTACATAATACATTCCTTAAACAAATTTTGGGAGAATTCATTTGTAAGCAGGGAAATAGACTTACATCACTGTTATATAAAAAATGAATCCTCGCAGCAGCATTCAGGCGAAAAGTTGGTGATTCAAGTACTGCTACTTTGCCTTTCTTAAATAAAAATGCGGTAACAGCTCCATCTCGTGCTTTGAAATTACTTTGAGATAAAGCAACTCGACCCGAATTATACAAACATGTTTGACCTGAAATTTTGACAAGTGATCTTAGGTATTCACTTCCAGTATCCAAGTCCAATCAGTAAGCAAGACGTATTTTCACCTTCCCTGAAACTACAAGAAAGAAGTCGGCAAACATTTGGGTCAGGTATTTGAGCTAATCCAGAACCAAATAGACGTACGCCGTGATATCGTATTGCCGATGGGCATATGTCACCCTGAAAATGATCTGATAATTTCATTTCCTGGCAAATTTTCATGGATTAATTTCAATTCTAAACTTGGATTTGTGAAGGAAATACAGCACACTAACAAGGAAGTCTCACAACATATTAATTCAAATCTTTTTTTTGATTTCTTTCTTTAGACGTGCAATCTTTTTTTGGATTCCTAACATCTCCTTTAATATAAAAATTACAAATTACTTCTAACAAACCATTAAAATTTTGTTTCTTTATCATTTCTAACTTTAAGCTGCTTCACTAGTATAATTCTCACCGTTACTACTAGGTCATCAATCAGTGCCATCCCTTGAGAAGATGATTCAGCTTTCAAAGCAATCCGTACTGGATGATTTGCTTCCGGTAAATCAATAAACGCAGGTCCGGGCTGTTTTAGAACAATTTTTTGGCAGTCAATCGCTTCCGAAACCTTGTCTTCAATCAAGCAAACATCTAGACGTGTGTTACCACTAAGCCAGAATCTAAAATGTTTTTCATAAAAAAAAAAAAAAACCAATGGTCTTTTAAGGAGCCAAAATGCCGCGAAGAATTTCTGCTCAGAAAATCGAAAACTTGAAGCCTGAGAGTACAATTCTGCTTTAAAGTTCTATGAATTCTCAGACAATCAAATCCTTGTCATTAATCTAAATGGTAAAAACAGTACCAGCTTAACTTATTTCGACTACTAATTAGTGCAAAGTTCTATTTCTACACAAATTTCCAACCGCTAGTTAAATGCAGAAATTTTTTTAAAGAAAGGCGGATAATGATGATGTTATTTCGCTTCCATAATGAAAGGCGGCCAAGTTTTTAAAGCGCCAAACGACGTCAATAGACGTCTTGCAAGCCGTTAATTGCATGTATCACTTGGGATTAATCAGTTCATACAGATTTGTTTCAAATTTTCAAGTTAAATTCAGATTTTGAAACCAAATGCTAACAAAGACCTAAATGTGAGTGTGGCTTGACTGATAATGCATCGAATAGGTTCGGTGATTAGCGTTGATGTTTGCTCAGATTTCAATCGGACAATAGCAAATTCGCCATCTAAATGAAAGGCAGTTGTTTATTTTTATATTCTTCAGCAGTAAGTGGACAGTTGTTTTATTATAAATAAAACCTTACCTGGCATTTCGGAACTACCAGTAAGAGAAATGAATTTATGCTTATCAAGTGGTGTGGTACCAATCTGCCACGCCGGCTCCGCTGGTTCATAATTTGCCCACATACAGTCTATAGCACGTCTTTCAAATGAACAATCCAAATCCCAAAAATTAAACATTGATTATTTCATTCGTGGGACTTGTTTTTACAAATGTCTTTGAAAATTTATGTGAACAGAGATGCAAGAAGTTATAAAGAAATTTGGAATAAAATGAGCTTCAGAAATATTTGGGATTCGATACACAATCATCCACTAACTTTACTAACATTGATCGTTTTTGTAAAAAGATAATTTCAGTAGAGATTTTTTACTTTGGCTGAAAAAATTGGCCTTTGTATTAATACACTTAGCATTGGTGTTGGATAAAAATTGCCACCGAGATCCCAAGCATTTACTGCTTCACTGCAGAATGTTGCTTCATAACTTATATCATCGATTGCAATGAAGTTGTCGTAATCACTGTTGATATTTTTCACTTCAACTGTTAGCTGCAAAAAAAAAAGATAAAAAACTTTTTAATTGAAACCTGATAAATAGACTTGCAAAAGATCTGAAAATTCATAAATTTGCCATTTTTGATAATTATTTTAGTAATTAAAAGGCATTTCTTTATAACTTAGTAAACATTGAACCAGTTGCAAAGAGATTGAACACTACTGTCATAATTCAATATATTTACGTAAGTTTGTTCAATCCATTATTTAAACCAGAAATTTGAAAAATCACTGAGAACGTCGACAGCTTGTTGAATTTCATGCTAACAAGAGCAGGCGATAAAGCCATTGGTGCCAAATGACATTCCGCCACGTTTAACGAACGATCTCGAGCACAAATTTCCAGAGTCACATTACGAGTTGTCCAGAATCTACTCTCATACTTCATTCATCAGTAAAAAGTTTGAAATAACAAGTAATAAATGGATAGAACGATAAGGATCGAGGCTTGTACCTGAAGGTAAGCAGCAGTTGAGGCATTCAATGTCCTTGGAGTTTATTCTCGCCTCATGTATGCTGTATCATTTACAAAAAAATCGATCTGGATTTAATCTACAGAAATCTAAAATCAGGAAATAGCAACCTGAAGTTAAATTTAGATGTGTTCTGTGTTTGGCACTCAATTGGATCGGACTCTAAGACATTGAAAGGAGCGTGACGATTCTGTTCAATGTACATGAATAGAAAGGGCGCTTCCGGTACCGGCAAAGCACCCGTTGCATTAAACATTAATTCATTGCTTGGAGATTCATCGGCTACTTGCCACATCTGTAGAACTTTAGGGTCATTTCAAATCATATCAAATTTAAAAATTTTTAGATTGCATTAAATTCTGAAAATCTAATGATGGTGTAATCATTTCTGTGGAAATAAGCTACCAATAACGAGCAAAAAATTACTCCAAAATGGAGTTTAGATAGCGAATAACCTCTAATGCATGGCCGACCGTACGCCACCGACATTTTGAGGTGAAATTACTGCAGTTCAGCTCATGAGCTGCTTTAACAAAATTTCTTTTGTAGGATGTAATGAACGGTCGACCTCGAAAATTCTCCCCCAGATCAACTGCAAACAAAAATATTCAAATCGCATGCTACAAATGATATGATCAATACATATCTTTCCTCAAACTGTAGAAAGAATGTTGGATGAATAATATAGACATAAAGTTGTTTCATTGCTTCCAAAACATTTAGCTACCAAACATTTATCTATGTTGCATACTAAAAAGTATTGGTAAGATTCGGAATGTTTTTGAATATGAAGGGTAAAAAAAAGAAAGGGTGATAAAAACATATTTGAAATTCTGCATAAAGAGGCTCGATAGACGATATTGTCGACCATGACAAACGAACCTTCACGGTTTGCTATATTGTATGCCTTGATCCCAATGCTGTATGTAAAGAAATTATCAAATCCTGACAAAATTATAAATAGAAAAAATGATTTAAAGTAGCTTTATTACAGGTGCATGTAAATATTCGTGGTTGGTACGTCAATTTCGAGTATGCAAGCGAACTAATTAAAATGCTCGAAACTATCATACCTGAATTCCTCATCACGTGGCGGAATTTCAGTTGTGCATTCGGTATTGAGCAGTACTGTACCGCAGTCAACGAAAGGTTTTTCTGGCAAAATAACAAGCAGACCTCTTTTTTGTTTAAGTAACAACACTTCTACCCGTGCGCCATTGTATAACCAAAACCTGCAGGCGAATTCTCATACCATAATCTGTCTGACGGAAGTTAACAAATTTTAATGATTTAAAGAAACAAAAAATCAAAACACCGCTGATTGCAAAATTGTCAGAATTTACACGGCCCTAAAAATTAGTAATGGGCAAATTAATTCTGCATGAAAGGGAAACAGACGTAAAAGTAAGAATGCCAGTGTTGTTTTGACAAAGAATTGGTGAGCTTTTCAAAATAGCAGTTTGTTCCTCTTGTTTTCGATCCCCAGTAAATAAAAGCTTGTCACCTGAAAATGAGAAATCTTATCTGCCATTAAACTATTAATATTAATCACTAAGACTGCCCCATAATTCAGCATATATTTGTTCACAATGTCATCTCTCAGAACCACTCAAAAATTAGTTCGCATTATTCCCATTTAAATAGGCTGCCGATAGTTCTAACTCCTCCTCTTTGCCAGCAAGCCATGATAATACCTCTAGTTTATGAGAAATCCCATAAGTCTATTCCATCTATTACTTTCCCGCACTATCTAGTCACTATCCCATTGCTATAAGCTGTTGGATCAGGTTTTGTTCTATTTTAAAAACAATTGATAGATAAAATCGCAAATGTAGCGCACCAGGGAAAAAAACTAATCAACGACATCTGAGCAATATATCCTCTATGCATTCTGCACGTATAACGATGTAATCACTTTAAATTTAATGTTGAATTTTTTGAACCTCGTGCGAGTCGACTTGGTCCTGGTCTGACTTGCAACACAGGGAATTCCTTAAAATCAATTTTTTCAAATAAATGGAAGTCGAGAGAATCAAGTGCTTCGTTTTCCCTAACATTACGCCATTCACATTTTTTTATATCGTCAAATGCGCAATCCAAATCATTGGCGTGTCGGATCGGTGTATTGTCGCGTTCACCTAAATGGAAGGTTTCATGCTAGTGTCAATCGGAAAAAGGAAATAGATTCTGATAGAGAAACAAATTAAGTACATCTTAATGATTACTTTAATATTGCTATAATACCAGCAGTATGTTAAGAAAAAGGAAAACTAGCTATCCTACCTTCTACTTTTCAACTTTCACTATTTCCCCCTGTCTTCATGTTGCTCTTAAAAAAACAAACTCAGCGTCAAGAACCGTTAGGAAATTGATGCAACCGGTCCCTAATTTAAAAAGATATAGCTATCGTCTTTTTCTCACCGGTTTCATCAAAACCATTTTCAATCCATTCAATTCCGAGATATTCTTTCAGTTTCATTCGTTCATAGCCGTATCCAGCCATGCATCCTTTTCCTGCAACCTTTATCAGTTTAACAACTAACAACTAATTCTGGTAAATCAAATGATTCCAAAATTTTAATTGAATTGAGTTACATTTCTTCCATATTGAGATAAATTTTAAATGGAATAATAAAAATTATAGCAAGCAATGTGAAGTTCCAAACAGATAATCACTAAAATATGCTCTTTCTCTCCTTCTAGTAAGGAATACAAAAAAAGTTTAATCGAAATTTTGATCAAAAATAATAGAAATAATACCGGACGGGAAGAGAAGGAATAGGAGTATTAAGAAGGAGTACATTATGAACATTTCTGGTAATATGGTTCATGAATTTTGCGGAGAGTGTCTTGCTGTTGTTGCTCAACAAACTCCCTTCTTATCCTCCTTTGTTTCCACAACTTCCCACTTTTATCCCACTTATCTTCTAATATCATCACATCAGCAACTCTCTCTCTCTCTCTTCTATTCCCGAATCATGTATGTATGCAGCAATTGTACTGCATTAAGAAATTCACTGATATTAAATACGCCCACAGATCAAGATACTGACCAATTTCATGCTACCTTTACTGCCGTTGTTTTTGTTCATTATTCCTCTCCCTATTATCATGAAAATAAAAAAACTTGTTTCATGACCCACAATTACTTCAGGAATTTAAAAGTTTCTTCATAAAATTCTATCGTAGATGTCTCGTTAGTGAGATTTTTCAACTAAATTTTATAACACTGATGCACTTCCAAATAATTTTAGCTTCCTAAATATTTCCTAAACAGCCAACACTGTGCTGTACTTAGAAAACAAAGGAGGAACTGTATCAGAAATTGATTAATAAAGTCTTCTCACCAAACGGAGATTGAAAGTATTAGGTTACACCTGAAATTTCAATTATTTTCTTAAATTACTATGGAATCATTGTAGTACTGACAGTATGTAATGCTCATGAGTTCGAAAGAAATGTGAAGTATTCCAAGAGATAATTTAGACTGACATTTTCAATATTACATGCGACTGCAAAAACTTTTGTAAGTTCCTTAACATATCTCAACAGTTCGCAAAATCTTCATTTTCCTATAACCAAATAACACTGAATATAATCGTTCAGTACAAAAAAGGTTTCAGTACGCTGCTCTGAAATTTCTTTCAAATATTTTCGTCCGGAGAGGGGTACAGTAACTGGATAACGACGAGAGATTGCAATTTTCATCTGCCTATCATCAGCAATTACGTTTACCTAGAAATACTGCCTCAGACAGCTCTAACCATTCACAGCCAAAATAACATGTGGAAGCTGGCTAGTTTGCTTATGCAGTCACTGTGAACGTTATTTGAAGAGAAAGTCCTTAAAGATGCAGAAAATCATCTTTAGTTCGCAACAGATATCCCAATGTGGCTACAGTTCTGCAGATCGCACCGTAAATGTCGAAGTAGTGAATTTTCAATTATTCATTTATTTCTTTTTCAATTTTATTTTCTATTTTCATTTATTTTTTTCCAATTATTGAAAAAAATTAACATTTCCATGTTTTCCAAGTGAGCAGTAGAATTATTTCTTGGTTTCATAAAATATTTTTAATTCAAACCAAAAATCAATCCATTGAAATTTTGTAGGTGCGTCCTTATATTATCTAAAAAATTAATTGCGTTTCTCTCAGATTGACAGCCACATTAAAAAGCTTTTGTCTAATCATTGCAGCATAATTTTATTTATCTTATTTGTTCAATTTATGAAATTCTGCATAACGTTATTAGCTAACTTCGCCTGTCTTTCAGGATCTTTTACTGATTTTTGGGTTTTAGAAGTGATCCAAACTCCTTATCGTATGCTAATATTTATTCAACACACTATGTTTTTGCATCATTCGGCCTAGCTATCTGGCTGTATACTTTGATATCAGCATCACTTCAAAAACTGTGCTATTTATGCAGCGATGCTTAGGTTTCTGACAATAGCCACATGGCGAATTACAGCAGTATTTTATAACTTTATCATTTTCTGCTCTTTCTAAATGCTTGCAGCAGATTTTTCTCGATTTGCTTGAAGATTTTGGAAAACATGCTTTACCATATTTGAATAGCATACGTTTATTACCATTTTCAATCCAGTGTCACATTTTATTTATCAGGAAGCTTCATCACATTCCACTATGTCTTTGGCTTGGAACTCGTCCGCAATGTAGCTTACTTCTTACCAATAAAAAAGATAATTATTGCGGCATGTTCATTTCAAATGTTGCAACAGTAGTTATGCTGGTGCTAGTCATAATTTGGTGATTTAATATATCTTGTGCTTGTGCCTTATGTTCACAGTCATTTGAGCAAATTAAAGTTAACCAGTCCAATAATATCTCGTGAAACCAAAATCATTTGTTAAGAATTTGATTTACAACTAATCATTCTTTATTAATTTTTGTGTAAAAGAAATCATCCTAGTATAGCATAGGGATGTAACACATAAAGTTATCATCAGTGTTAGATCTGATACCTTCGAAAGGATTGTCATTGGTTATATTGAATATTTGCTTATTATTGTAACAATGATATTGATAAAGTTGTTTAAGGCTATTGTCATAACTAATATTTTGTTTCCAACTGTACCAGCCATTGTAAGGGATTCACCGATGTACAGTAGGTCTGAATTTTTCGAAGAAGTTAGTTCAAACGATGATTTGTCATCAAAATATCTTCAGCAGCCATGATCCAAGCTACTTAAAATACTTGAAAACAGTGATGTTTTCAAATATTACAGTGATGTTTAACATTATCGAATTTAATCTTTTAGTATGATAGTATCAAAACCGATAGACTAAAAGCATCATTAGTCGGTTCAATCTGGATGTGACCAATTTCAGTTTTAGTCATTTACGACTTTGACAACGTTATGCTAACTATTGTATTGTAGACCTTTTTTTTTTTCATTATCAAACACAGTATGCGCTAAAAATAACCTGCATGAATTCTTTTTGCACTTAATATAGGATTGAATTTCAAAGTTAATTCAAGCATAAGGACCTAAAAGCAATTCTTTTGCAACTGTGTTACTGATGACCATGCTATACTCGACAGTATTACCAGCGGTAAGCCACCAATGCTATAGCTTTCTCAAGTAGTCTTCTCCAAATGGCTGATTTGGTTTGCAGTTTCTTGACAGTGTCAATATCAAAAAAAAAAACATCCACATCAAAATCTCTAATTCCTAATTTTTTGAATTATAACTGCATGATGAACGACCTAGTCGGTTGCTGAATTTCCCATACATTAAATTTGGTCTGATAATGCCATCGCAGTACAAAGAATGAATACGCAAACTGATGTTAGATCACGGAAAAATTCTAATTGCTTTAAGAAAAGGAAAATATACTATCGCCAGTTCGCGATAGTGGTCCGGATTATGCTACTTAACTAGCGAATGTATTAAACACAATGGTTTAACGATTAACATCGTTTTTTTTCGTGCGATCGATGTAGGTTGCAATCAATAAGCAGTCTCGTCTGATGGTGAAAGACAAGTATATATAAAATTCACTGACTAGACAATTCAAGGCATTGTTCGGAATTTACTCCATTCTACCGTACTTTCTTTTTTGGGGTGATTATGACCAAGGGAGAGTAGCATCGAAATTGGAAGAGTCACTGAAAAGACAGCTTAAGTAATTTGTGGCTTCCTGGAGCAACAATCTCTTTGATGTTATTACAGGTGTTACTTCGAAACACCCAATTGGTTTGCTCATGCTACCAATTGTAGTTCCGGTAGATATAAATAATTCATTGAGAAGTTAGGTCAACAAAGCTTAAAGTTTCATGTTTGAGTGTACGTACTTTATTTATGTTAAAATGCGTTAACGATCAACAATTTAGTCACAAGATTCAAAAACGCTCACTTCTTGTTCACCGTGCTTCGGAGCTTTCCCATGAAATATGAAACCTGAAAAAATTTCTGAATTCTAACAGTTTGTAGGACGAAGAAAAAGTATTCAATAATTTCGGATTCGACAGCATTCCATCCTCCTAAATTGCATTCACAAACTCGGATTTCTTTAGATTTATTTCAAACTATCCGTCCATTTATACTGATAAAACATAGAGTATTGGGTGAAAGTTCTTGGAAGAAAAAGGAACTGTTAATGAGAAGAATAGGTGAAAACGGATCCTTGAACCAAATGCCGTTAAACTCATATCGCGGAAAGTGAATGGTATGATGTTGTGTATGCTTAGGGACAATATATTTTTATTTGTTCGGTGCCTGGTGCCGAAAGTGTGTGCTTGCCTTTCTCTACGGAGGTATCTGTTACAAGCCCGCTTTTCTCCTCTTCCTCTCTCCCCCAACTTCAAGGTTCACTTCTACAATTCGCGGTGAGTAATCCTTCAAAAGAGGAAAAAAGGTAATTGTCGATTCAAATGTGCATATTTTAACGTCAGTATGGAAGCAGGCGGGCATTTTTTGGTCTCTGTTGCTACATTACTACCCATTTGCAAACTTATTCTCATTAAATTGGCTGTTTTTTTGTTGACTTCAGCTAATAATTCCCTCTATTCCAGTCATATTGATTGCTCAAAACTACTTTGAAATTTCTAATTTTGGGATTATTGATAGACCCCTGGTACTGCCTGCAACGATGGCCAATGAATGAATCTTTTCATCCTGTGCTGTACCATCACGATGCAATGAAAATAAATAACTTCTCATCTGTATTTGCTTTCTTTACTCTTTAGATTTATCCTCATGCTCTGTTTCTTCTTGATATTATGATCCCTTTCCGCTTATATAATGCGTATGTTATCTTTTTCCTCTTCTTTTGTAACACGTACGTTATTTACGTCGCCCAAATTATTTTTATTCATAAACGTATTTTCGTTCATAAATTGTCGAAATTAATGGGAAATTTGAAGTGGAAAACGATGTAAATGTGAGGAAACTCTCCACAACTTTACTGGAATTATCCAGATATGTACGTTGCTGTGGCAAATGACTATTTTCTCCATTCCTAACTTCCTTCCACCCCCCCCCCCCCCCCTACTCCTTTTGAAACGGCTAAACTTAATGGTCGACAAGTAACATCTGGATGCCTAACGACATAATTTGTTGTGAAGCATCAGAGGTTAATTATCAATTATTAAGTTACCAATAATGAGTTTGCTTCGATGAAATCTTATTCCCTAGACTAAGAATTTTAATTAGAGCATAATGAATTCTCTTCAGAGATCCTCTTCACCCACATCTGCCTTCATTTTCCTGCTTTGATATCGCTAACCCCTCTTTCACTTTCTCCTTCCCCTACCATTTCCAACCTAATATCAGTTCCTGGTCATAGTTGTATTTCCGTAACCCGACGAATTTGGGTACAGAAGTCTCGCTTTTATGAAGGACATGTCTCTCGTTCTTTTTTCCCTTGACCTAACTGGGCATAGGATCAATTTGTGACCGCTCCGCCGTGTTGACTGCTTCATATTTTCATTAGTTATTTTCCAACTTCAACATGAAAATGAAGTTCGTTGCGATGTTTTGCGGGACAAACTGTGATCGGGAAGATATGGTAGGCTGGACATACCTGCAGCTGTTGTAGTGAGCACTTTGTCGTTAACTTTATAGTCAAGTAAACCATTCTTCCTGAATAGGTTTTTAGAAAGAGTGGTGCAAATTGCTGCTGCAATACTGTGCTGAGAAACTTTCTCATCCCCCACTCCATTTCCTGTAGTCCAAATATGTATCTGCTTGGGTCATTTATTTTCCGTATAGTTAACAATAAATTTAAACTTGTCCTTCTTACTCAACAATCATTTCATTCAATAGATGTTACATAACACTGAGATCTATTAATAAGC